CAATAACTGCAGAAAAAAATAATCAAAAAGGCGTGGCTTCCCTTCGCTCTGGGTTTCTTAGAGAGCTGAGAGGGGTTGGTTGGCTGCAAGAGCTTGACCACCAAGGATGCTTACATCGAATCACCAATACCTCTGCCGATATTACTCTCCCATTTCGTTTTAAAAATATAACATCGAATAACCACGGCTTGCTGCTGCTGACCGGGCTGAGTAGGCTTGCGCCGTTGCCATCCTCTAGTCCCACGGACAGACTACCTACCTCAGCATTATCAACAGCAGCTTCGGCCGTCACAGAAGCTTGGCCACTCGCACCGACGACGTTGACGACCGGGACACATTACGAGGCAAGAAAGACCTAAACGAACTTGGCTGGGCAGCTTCATCCATTCACGCTGCGACCTTGTCGCCTAGCGTTATAGGCCTGCGGTCCATTCATGAGGCAAGGCAGCCCATCAGGATCATGAGTGGTTGGCTCTGCTCCATTCATCCCACGCTATCAACACAGCTATTCGTGCCTCGACTACTCGCGGGCGCACTGGAACTGTCATCCTATTACTGTCAGCGAGCGTTCACCCCCCTAAAGACGATCCGCTCTCCGTCTTAAAGTAGCTACTCTGCAAGTTCCATTCCCCTACCGTCGTCCAACCTGATCTACTTGCTGCTACGACTCCCCTATAGTGGCGGGCCTGTCCTTTTCGGGCGCTCCCTATATCCTTGGCTTTTAGATATCTATCTCCTGCTGCTGCAGAGCTCGTAGCAGTTGGTGGTCCGCGGTAGCCGGGCTCTTAATCGTCTAGCTACTGGCCGCCATATAGTTGCGGCCTCGGCTGGGTCTGGTGTGATCACTGACAAAAAGCAAGACGCGATAAATTCAGCACGACTTTTTGGGAGTGGCCATCTCTGAAAAAAATCATTCGCCCTGGCGGTCCATTCGGTACCCTGGTGTCCCAACGAGACTCCCCGGAGTCGATTTGAAGGAGACAACCAGGATCATAACAGAAACATTCCCCAAGCTTCAGAGGGATCTTTTGGTGGACAACGTGGGAACTATCTGGCGAGAGACAATATCGACGAAGCAGCCGGTTCGTGTCATTCGGAGGCGTGTAGTGGTGGTCAATGTCCCGGTCCTCGAGACCAGGGCGACGGGGAAAAGGTCTCGATGTCGCAGAGGGGACCTGCGCCTCGCCCTCCTTCCCGTCGATCGTCCAAGTCCCCAACAAGAGAAGCGCGGCCCCCCTCTTCACAGCTAGGAACCCGAAGTCGCGATGACGCTTCACTCGAATCAGCCCACGACCCTGGCGGACCCTTGATTGCCCGTGCCAGTGGGCGGACTTCTCAGGTCTCGGCGAGAACTATAGATGTTCACAATATCTTGAACCCCCCCGAATCTCATGTAACATACCAAGTCGCACCTGTACCCTCGTCCCATCCCGGTGGTGAGCATGGTAGCTCTCCTTCTAATATCGGACCTGGTCAATACAGCCAACGCGCCTCGCCTTCCCATCCATTCTCCAGCCAGGGCCAATCGCACCCGTCACTTCCACAGGGTTTCGTGCCAGTACCTGGGGGCCCCGTCCCGCCAGGTCCTCCACCGCCTTCTGAGAAGGGTCGATCACCAACGAGCAGCCATATCTACTCGCCATTGGGACCTGGGAGACGGATCTTGACGCCAAAGTCGAGAGTGGCAAGTCTGAATAGGGGCGTGATTCCGAGATCAGCTGAACAACCGCCCCCTATCCCATTTCCGCCTCACCCAGCAGCCAGAATGGGGCAGCATGAAGCCGCGTCTTACTCTGGAGGCCCGGCTCAAGCTATGCCGCCTCATTTTACACCCTCACACGCTGGCCAAGGGTCAGTAGCATCAACTACTGCACCTTCTATTGCAACTCCGCCGAGGTCTCTCTCGCAGCCGCTGATGGGAAATCCTCAACACTCAGAGTTATCGCAGCCGACACAACAAAGTGGGTATGATATGGGGAGGAGGACGCCATCATATCCAGCTGGAACTTCCTTTGGGCCAGGTCTACCTCAAGGGAGGGGACTCGCTCATGCTGGCCCTTCGGGCGACGGTCGTTGGTCAGCAGCTCTGATGAGTTCTATTCAGTCCGGTGGTGCTTCATCCAGAGGCATGGCGATGGACCAGGGACAGCATGTCATCACAATAACGCCCAGCTATGGAGAGGAAATCCACGTACCAGTCGATATACATCAAGCCTCGAAGCAAGCAGACGAGAAGAGGCAACGCAACGCCGGGGCATCGGCTAGATTTCGTCTGCGGAAGAAAGAGAAGGAAAAAGAGGTCATACATGGGCTACAGAGGCTTGAGCAAGCTGAGCGGGAATACGTAAAGCAAATTCAAGACTTGAGGGCAGAGCGAGACCATTATCGGAATGAACGCAATCGTCTGCGAGATATTGTCTACCGAACCCCAGGCATTCGAGAATTAGCAGATCAAGGCCCGCCTAGCCCGACCTCGACGAGGAGTGGTGGTTCACTGGGAGGATCACTTGGGGGCTCTTTCGCTGCTGAGAGTAGCAATCTAGGCTTCCAACCAGTTGCGCCAGCCCATCCGCCGCCCTTCTCGAGTGGTGATCCCTCGATGGAAAGACCCGCTCGACGGCGAAGAACGGATCCAGCCCCTGAATTCACGACACCCACATATGGTACACCGACACAAATGCCAAGTACCCTCCCGCCCATCACCCAATCCGCCTATGGACTGACTACATCGTCTCCTCATCCCTCAGCTTCACCTGGAAGCGCCAGACTACCTCCCTTGCGGCTTGATCAACCTGGGGTATCTCCTACCTCAGAGCACCCTCCACTACCGGGAGGACCTCCGCCGCAATTGCCCCTACCCTCAGGGCAGTATACACAATACGGCAGGGCACCTCACGAGACAGGCTGGGCTACGGGCCCTCGAACCCACCGAGACCCGGAACCACCACGATAGGCGTTTCGACAGTCTCGTGGCTTCCACTCACTATATTGTTCCATACGTTCGGCGTGTAAGATACGGTGAAAATCGGTCGCGATTACGTTACCGAGCGCACACCTCCTTCTATCTCTAACTTCCTATGGAGTCTCTACGGATATACAGCTTGTTTGTGGTTTTGCGGGATCTTAGCAGGCTCTTGTTTTCCTGCTGGTCACACAAAGAGGTGCATAAGTTCGGGCGACCGACAAGAGGTTCTCAAAATTCGGAGTTATCTTCTACTTTTCATGGGGCATGGGATTTCGACAGGTTGGGGATTCCATCTCACATCGGTGTGTCAGAGGCTTTCACAAGAGAGACCTTGCCACACTTTCTTCGTATAAGTCCTTGAGGGCGTGCCCTCATATGCCTCGCCTCCTTTGACGGCCGCTGTTCTGGGCGCATCGGACAAAATCTGCAGCAAAAAGGGTTTCGACCACGACCGAAACGGCCTGCTAGGTGTTATGGTGTTATGCCTTTTTAGGGAAGGTAGTTTGACTTTTTATCTTTGCCTGTTTATTGTCTTTTGCCCTGTTTGTGCCAGTTGCTTTTATGTGTCTTTTCCGCTGTTCTCAAGAGCGTTGATATCACCAGATTGGAAATCCTGAGTTGGCAAAGGGACTGGACCGGGATGGGACATTGGGATGGTAGGGATCCAGGACAAAGTGCCCCCATTGTCATGCGACCCAAGCGCACTTGGGCTCTGTCACTCGGTGTCTAGGAGAAAGATATTGCTATTTTGGAACTTCTTCATATATGGGGTGTCTGTTTGTATTCCGCTTTGCTCCTTTTCGAAAGGGGAAAGCGTGGCGAGGGTCGATTATCCATCTCTCATCTATACTGGCGTAGACTGGTTTTGCCCATCAAAGATTGCCCCCAACTCACGTTGCTTCATTATCATTATCATCATCAACAACAACAGCAGTTTACCTTATCTAGAAGATACAGAACCAGATTGGTACCAGGCCTCGTGGTAGTGTAGGGCACCAACAGAACCTACCCACAGGCGCAGCAGCGGAAGCCGCCATACAGAATAATAACAACTTACTTACTTACCTACCTTGCTACGACTAAGACTGACTGAGATTTGCCGTGACTCTTTCGTGAGCGTGCGCGTGCGCTTCGCTTATTTCTTTTTGGCCTCGGATTAACTCGAAAAGATGAGATGAGCAATGTGAGCAGCTGCGCAAGTGAGCAGCAGGGGCCGTATCTATTGGGCCAGGAGACGCCGCGTGCGTATTACTTGCAGGCTGATGAGGGCGCTGGCGGAGCAGATGGGATGGCGATGGATCGTGCCTTTCAGACGGCCTCGTCGGGACACATCACATCACACCCACCCCTGAATGGAAGGCGAGGCTAGGAAGGGAAGGGGGGGATCCATACATAGCTGCTCGCGTTCGACGTACGTAGACGTAGCACAGCATCAGCGGCCGGGAATGACGGAACAGCACGTCAGATATAAATAGCCCATAATAAGGTAAGGTGCTTGCTTGCTTGGTTGCTTGCTTGCAGATACAGGCCAGCAGCGGAGCACAGCATAGCACAGCATAGCATAGCATGCATACCTACCTAGCATAGCAGCGCCGCACCGCACCGCACCGTTGACGTGCAGCAGACAGACAGATAGACAGCGGGCTGCCCGCTGCGATCAAGGATCAAGGATTCAGGCAGCCGGGACGGAAATGGGGCAAAAAGTCCAATCGGTTGCAAATGCACGCACACACGACAGCCATAGCTACCAACCCACCGGTGGATTCGGACGCTCGTTGTCGCTCGGGTACTTTGCTCAGCCTCGCAGCTGATGTGATACGGCGGGAAGCTAGAGGGTGGCCAGCGGCCCAGTCACTTGGTAAAGTACAGCACCTGAGCAAAGAGGGTGGGTAAGTGTATGCCTTGCAGATGCACAAGGGAGGTAAGCAAGTAAGTCCATTTGACTTTTCTTATTAAACCGATATAAAATAAATACAAAAACGCTAGTGTATTATTATACATATTACTCGTTTGGGGCTGGCGCTTCGCTCGCAGTCTAGAGCCTGATTCTCCCGCCGTCATTGCCGCCGCCGAACCAGCGCCGGAAATCCGAGTCGTTCCGGCCGGCTGCCGGCCGGCTCCCCTCGCCGCCGTCATTGTTGCCCATCCACTTCGGCTTCTTGATGTCCTGGAACCACTTTGGCGTGTCGATCGTGTCGACCGTGTTCTTGATGCGATGCCCCAGCGCCGCAAAGAAGTTGTCGTCGTCTGCATCCCCGTCGAGCGGCGTCCGTGACGACTGTCCGATCTGCCGGCCTCCTCTAGATGTCGAAGCAGCCCCGGCCGTGCTTCCCACTGCGTTTGGCGACGTGCCAAAGGGTGTGATTGGGGTTTCTGTGCGCCGGGACCCGGGGATCGAGAGTACGGGCGCGGCCCGTCCCGATGGACTGTCTGTCCGGCCTGCAGCTAATCGCGCCGCGGCAGCAGTTTGTCGAGATCTGATAGAAGTGCCGTGAATCTCGCGCTCGATGAGATCACGACCTTCGCGCCACGATCCGGTCCCGTAGCCTGACTCGTTTTCTTCGTCCTGGTCATCGATAAGATCCGCAAAGCCGAAGAACCGCTTCACCTTGCCATAGAGCCCGAACAGTGTTGCGCATACAGGCACAAGGATGAACAAGGGGAAGAGCTTGTCGAACCACTCGCCCAAGGGCGTCAGGACAATCAGCTGCCCCAGGAACCCGTAGAAATTCGTCTTGGTATATACCTCCGCAGAGAGGAATGTGAGGAAGTTGTATGATAGCGGAACGCTAAGCCTGGCGACCTGCGAGGCGTACCAGAAGGCAGACTCGTGGGCTGTATTGCGCCGTACGAGGGCACGCCCGCGCCAGACCTTGATCTCGGTAATTGAAGTCAGAGCAGCTGCACACATGTAGAGGATCCAGAACGATGCTATGAGCTGGCCAGCAAACCCGACTTGCCCCTTATCGCCTGTCCAATGATGCACCACCGTAAGACTGATAATAGATAACTTCGGCAAAGTTGTCTTGCCGACCTTGACAATCTCAGACCAGACGATACAGGCCGAGGCAAGTCCAAGGAAACCGCCAAAGAATATCCTTGCGTAAGGGATGAAATGGTAGTGGTAGAGATATCTCGTATAGGGGTTGAGAAGATCGAAGCGATCCCAGAAACCAGAATGGGGGGATCGCTGACCGAAATCGAGCTTCTTGGAGCCTGCCGAGTCCAGGATTGCTTGCGTGTCTGTGGCATCCTGCAACAGCTTATTCCATTCACCCGCATATCGCGATCGAGCATGCCGAGCTCTAACCAGCTGTCTCGTAAGATCCGCCATATATTTCTCGGTGATAACTGTTGGAAGAGCGCGCGCTTCGCCTGAGCCTTGCAATATGCCTGGCCGCGGATGTGCCTCGGGGAGACTGGTCATATCCACGAGTTCCTCGATCCAGTCCTGGAAGTCTCTTGCGCTGCCTACTTTGCGCCGGCTCAACTCGGATACCTGAATCTCGACGTCTTCCAAATTCATGTCCGCTTCCTCCATCTTCTCATATAACTTGGGAGCTTGCGACTGGATGCGACGAAGCCTTTTGCTGATACTCGCATCTCGTATCAGGCGGCGCGGGATTGCGACTAGACCGTGGCCCATGAGGTAGATGGCCAGGGCGAGACCCCAACAGTACGCAAGGGCCATGACCAAACCCTTCAGCTTCGAAGTCGGCGGCGCACCGGAGGATATGAATACATAGACCAGCCCGAGGATGCCGGAGCCGAAGACCATTGCATAGTATTGCGCATTTTCGCGGAGGGAGTATAAAAGCTTGGCTTTGGGCTCTCGGTATCCCGCATCGGAGTATTCGCCAAGTACAGGAAGTATAAACCTGATGAGACGTTAGAAAGTAGCATGCGACAGGCTGCGGGCTTCGCGCACCATGTGAGAGCAAATGTCAGCCAGTACGTTATCCTCCACGATGCGCGCAGCACATTCTCGGGGAGCCAGATGCCCCTTGTCGCAACATCGTCTGTCCGTGCGCCGGAGGCCAGATCAATCGGGACGAGGAGGACGATGCCTGCGGGTAGCCATAGTGCAAAGAAAACGGGAACCAGCAAGTAGGCGGGTGTAGTTCGCAGCGGGAGGTAGTGGCGGAGGATGAGGAGGACGATGAGGGAGAGAACGAGCAGCGCGAGGCCGGCGAAGACCTCGGATGAGACGGCCGAGGCTGTAGCAACCATCATGATGGATGTTGACATGTTTGTTGCTCCATCAAGTCGATGTTTTGCTGTTGGCGGGAGATGAAGTGAAGTGTTGGGAAAGGTGAAGTGGGTGACGAGGCTTCCGGTCTGCGACGTTTACCTAAGGTAAAGGTGGTTTAGCATGTGGTCGCCCGGATTAAGAGATGATTATGTCACACGACTAAATGTACTGTGTGGCTGGACCCAGGCGCTGCAAATTGCGGCGGGCACTACATCTCGAATTTGCAGGGGTTTTACAGGGTCCTGAAATGACGTAGCGCCAAACCAAATATTGCAGCAACAAACAGAACTGAAGACTTTTGAAGTGAAGTGACGGACAATAGAACGGTAGACTTTCTAGAGTGAGACAAGCAGCCTTTCCTCTACTAAAGACAATGCTCTGAGCATACCTACCTAAACAGACATGCGCCTATTTCACTTCATCTCAGTACCTACCTAGGTACCTAGGTTACCTTACCGTACCTTACTGACCTTTGGCCATGGACTTGCCTAACAGATTGCGTACTCTCTGTCTTGAGTCCGGCATGAAATACTCCAAATAAGGTGGGTTGCCAGAGGGGTAGTTCTTGCTCACTGTGGAGTTCTGGTAGGGTAATGGCTAGGTACCCGTAGGTAGGCACGGCGCTGACCAGAATTTGCAAGAGAATGATGCTGAGAGGCAGTAGGATTACAGCCGAACATCTTTGTCTTACTTAATATATATCTCTTCGAGCTGCCAACTACTTCTGAAGATAGATCTAGAGCGATCTGCCTGCCTTTGCGCCGGCTGTCAGTGTTTTATCTTATCCGCACACGCTGCTCCGTGTCCGGCGCTGGAGCTCCTGCCGGGCGGGGCCAGTCAGCGGCTTGTCACGGCAGCAGGAGGAGGAGGTATTTGAGGGGCCACTAATGTTAGCATAGTAACGCTTGGGAGCATTTAGGAGCCAGTAGCTTAGGACTTGATGCCCGAAAGAGGCAGTTTCACGCGGTCATCGAGGCTACTGCAACAGTTTACTATGCAGTAGAACGTGGCCCAGGTGCCGTAGAACGAACCAAGTCCCGCTGCTGCAGCCGCTGGAGAATTTGGTCTATCTAACGTCCCTTAACGGCAAGGATCAAGTTGCCGAGGAGGGCATCTTTTTGGGCCCGCCGGTGCATTATGAAGTAATCCATTCCATGCAGGTGCAAAATGATCCCGCGATAAGGCTCCTTGACTGGTCGGCGATAAGAGAAACCTCCTCGACCGTGTCCATGTACCTACCTAGGCAAAGGCTGGTGTCAAGCTTTCTCAATAGCCCAGTGGATTGAAGAGAGTGAGCACACCTAGATAACATGGAAGCTAAGCTGAAGAAGACCCTGGAAGGAGCTGCTTTACATAGCAGATGCCCTAGTAGATGGAGTCGGAAATCTGCGATCGGCTCCCCCACCTCGTTGGCGGCCTGTCCGCCGCCGTCTCTGCGCTGGGCTGTGACACATTTACTTCCCGTTCGGGATTACACACATCAGTGACCAAGTGAGGGGCAGCCGCGAGAGCTAGGGCAGAGCTTGCTATCCATGCCATGCCGTTGTCTCCTCCTGCTCCTCCTGCTCCTACTGCTGCTGTCTTGTCACTGATAAGGATGTCCCTCACCCTCGCTCGACATCCACGATTCTTGTCTTCCTTTCTTAAGCTTGCAACTGGCCCAGAGTCAACCTCCATCATACCGTTGTCTCTCAAGGCAGCTCCAGTCCACATTCATCGTGTCCGCAGACCTTTCTCTGTATCCACTCGTCTAAGCTTCAGTCAGTCTCAACCGCTCAGGATGGAGGTCGAGCTCACAGCCCCCAACGGCAAGACGTGGTCCCAGCCGCTGGGTCTCTTCATCAACAACGAGTTCGTCAAGAGCAGCAATGAGCAGAAGCTTGCTTCTATCAACCCCGCGTATGTCATCTCCCTCCCCTCCAGGCTCTCACCCACCAATGGAATGGGACATTGCCCCACTAACACGCGAATCAGTACCGAGGAGGAGATATGCTCTGTCTACGCAGCCACTGCCGATGACATCGATGCCGCCGTCAGCGCTGCCCGCAAGGCCTTCAAGGCTCCTACCTGGAAGTCTCTATCTGGCACCGAGCGGGGCGCTCTCATGAGGAAGCTTGCCGACCTGGTTGAGCAGAACGCAGAGATCCTCGCCACCATCGAGACGCTCGACAATGGCAAGCCCTACGGCGTCGCCCTCGGCGAGAACGTCCCCGAGTTTGTCAATGTCATGAGGTACTACGGCGGCTACGCCGACAAGAACTTCGGCCAGGTCATCGACGTCGGCCCCACCAAGTTCGCCTACACCGTCAAGGAGCCCCTCGGCGTCTGCGGCCAGATCATCCCCTGGAACTACCCTCTGGACATGGCCGCCTGGAAGCTCGGCCCCGCGCTGTGCTGCGGCAACACCGTCGTGCTGAAGCTCGCGGAGCAGACGCCCCTGTCTATGCTGTACGTCGCCAAGCTCATCAAGGAGGCTGGTTTCCCTCCCGGTGTGGTGAACGTCATCAACGGCTACGGCAGGGAGGCCGGTGCTGCTCTTGTGCAGCACATCCATGTCGACAAAATTGCCTTTACCGGCAGCACCGTCACCGGCAAGGAGATCATGAAGATGGCCTCGGCTACCATGAAGAACATCACGCTGGAGACCGGCGGCAAGTCGCCTCTGGTCGTGTTCGACGACGCCGACCTTGATCTTGCTGCGACCTGGTCACACGGCGGTATCATGAGCAACCAGGGACAGATCTGCACAGCCACTTCGCGAATCCTGGTGCAAGAGGGTGTCTATGATGCCTTCCTCGAGAAGTTCAAGAAGACAGTTCAGGAGGTGTCTGTGGTCGGCGACCCGTTCGAGGAGACCACCTTCCAGGGCCCCCAGGTCACCAAGCAACAATATGAGAGAGTTCTGGGCTACATCAAGGTTGGCAAGGAGGAGGGTGCAACAGTCATGCTAGGAGGCGAGCCTGCACCGCAGAAAGGAAAGGGATTCTTCGTTGCACCGACCGTCTTCACCGACGTCAAGCCGACAATGAAGATCTACAGGGAGGAGATCTTTGGACCGTGCGTGGCCATTGTCTCGTTCAAGACAGAGGAGGAGGCCATCGAGCTGGCAAACGACACGACATACGGCCTGGGCGCGGCGCTCTTCACAACCAACATCACCCGCGCGCACAGGGTAGCTCGGGAGATCGAGGCCGGTATGGTCTGGGTGAACAGCAGCAACGACTCGGACTTCAGAATTCCGTTCGGAGGCGTTAAGCAATCCGGTATTGGACGGGAGCTGGGTGAGGCAGGTTTGGCTGCCTACTGCAACATCAAGGCCATTCACGTCAACATGGCAGCGTAAAGTGGGAGAACCTGAAGAGAGAAAATCGACTTCATGTACGATCAGGCAGCTAGCTATGTTAGGTCAACCGTAATAAGGGCGTCACTCAACTATGGGCTTGTTCAACACTTGTGAGACCATTGGCTCAGGTTCTGCACTCTTTTGGAAGACACTCCCACTGGGCGAGCCATTGTGTTCATTTAGAACATCATGAGGAACCTGCCGTATAACATCTCAACCGGCTTCAAGTTACGTCTCCAAGTGCAGAAACTGCATCATCATGCTTTGCCTATCAGTGCTCAGTCAGAGGTTTGACTAGTGTCAGCAATTGTATCGATGTAGTCGGTCTTCTACATATTACTCCATTCCATTCTGAAGGCATGCTTGACCAGCAGAATATAAGGATATGTTAAAGCACACAAGCATACCTGTTTCATTTTATCTGTAAAACCGGTCAATCTCTCAAGTTGAATGCTACGTGTTCTGACAACCTACCTAGACTACGTCGCTTTGGTTTGTGAGAAGCATTCTGGTGTGGCTGTTGAATCTCACGACTGAGCAGCGTAGGTTACACGCCTTGAAAAACACGAGCTAAGACTTCTTAAAGATAGCAATTGATACGAGTACATTTAGACATTTTCTGGGCACGAATTGCGCATATGTAGCATAATGTGGCCGTGTACCGACCTATCTAGGGAAATGCACAGTAGGCAGGCAGTGATAGAAGAAAGTGTTAAGCTTTTCGCGCTTCAATAAGAGAGAACCTGGCTGCGGCAGGGGAGCTAATCCCTGTTCGTTTCGGCGATCTCTTAGTGCGTAGTGCCAGATGGGCCGAAGAAGCCAGCTGTGCTTCAATTGGAGAGAAATTTGACTACCCCCTACGTTGCGCCTCAGCGTCATCTGTCCTCGCTAGCAGGCACAGGTAGAATTACACCAGTGCCTGCCTGCCAACTTGTTAGGAGTCACATCGACCTTTTGACTTTTTGCCCATCCCTACGCAGCAGGTTGACGATGACCTTTCCTACGAGGTGATACCCACCCCTAATCAAACATAGTCCTAGATCTCCATAGGGGCTCCTTTCGTCGCGACAATGGCGCCTCCCATCCCCGAATCGAAGATCGCCCTCTCCTATCCCCTCTACGCCTGCGACTTCGACCCACAGGACTCGAATAAGCTAATAGTGGGCGGAGGTGGTGGTGCAGGCCGCAGCGGCGTTGGAAACAAGATCGTGAGTTGCCCCTCCCGCTCTTCAGATGGGTTGCAGAGTACTGATTAGTGCATTGTAGACAGTACTGGACGCTTCGCATGAGGCGATCCAGATCGTCTCCGAGGTCGAACTAAGCCGAGACGAGGACAACGTCACCTCCCTTGCCGTCGGACAGCACAAGGGCAGGTCCACACTGGTATATGCGGGTATCAACTCCAGCGCGCAGGACCAGGAGAAGGGCAAGAATGAGCACTTCAGAGTCTTCGGGGTCAACTCGCCGTCAAAGACAAAGGTCGATGTGCGGCAGCAGATCACCGAGCTTGCGAGAACCTCGCTCTTCTCCGCAAAAGAGACAGATGCTTACCAGAGACTGCTGAGGATATCTGCGCCTCACGGTGATGCTGCGCAGGTTGGCGCGGTCGCGACCGGTCTGGCGAAGGAGGCCCAGATCGTACTGTTCGACGTAGCAGCTGGTGGCGGCGTTGCCCCGAAGACGCGTGGGAAGCTCGACATCACAAAAGAAGCTGTGGACTTGGATATAATACAGACGGGAGACGACAAGTACCAGTTGCTCTATTGCGACAACTACGACATCTACATTATGGATGTAGCTAAGGGTAGCACAACCGGACCAGAATGCGTCTACAGCATGCCCCATGATGTTGCCACTGGAGGAGGGCGACCTGTCTTCCGGTCGATTCGATACCTGACGCCGACTTTCATTCTCGCGGTTGGCAACCTCCCAAAGCGAGGCGGTGTGGTGCTCTGGGGTTATCGCTTGCCGAAAACTGGCCAAGAGCCTGGCAAGGCGCGCATAGCAGCCTCCACGAGACTTCCCAAGAGCGTTGCGCAAGCTACGGGTCTGGCGGTTGTCAACCTCTCGCCGCCCACCTCACCTGGTCTGAAGCAGGGCGACAGCCAATTTGTCATTGCTGTTGCCGGTCATGACTTCTCGATATCACTGTACACACTCGAGCACCAGGTCCTGGCAGACATCGACCTAATCGTGAACCTATATCCCCTCCACACCTTCAAGAATGCGCACCACGGATACATCACCGGCATGGCATTCTCTCACTGGACACCGCCCAAGCCGACGGCCCGCGTGCAGTTCCTAAAGCTCGCGAGTGTGTCCATCGGCAACACGGTCTCCGTGCACAGCATCCCCTTGAAGAAGTTCATTGACAAGGCGTCGCCCATCAAGCGTGGCGGCCCGCCGCGCCAACCCCGATATGTTGTTGCGCTGAAGTCAAAGGCGCCTACGATGACCGCCCTCCTCGTCACCATAGCGGTGATTACGGCTCTAATCGGAGTTCTCCTGCAGGGTTTCCTGGAAGTCAAGGGGTACAGCCAGCCGGTACTCGGGGCGCGCAGATTTACTCCGGTGTCATGGCATAGAAATTTCCCTCACACCAGCGCTACTGCACCGGCGCAAGGCTTTTTGGCTGAGCTCCTGGCTGAGAAGAAGCTAGAGAAGGGAGACAACGTGGTCCTGCTAAGCGAGGAGCTGGGCGCCATCGAGGACCCGACCAAGCCGGCCCCGATCCGCGTCGATGCTCACGACGAGAGCACACACGGCGCAGCCAGGACCTGGGAGAACCTGCCGCCGGAGCAGAAGCACCTGTGGAGGGAGCGGCTCAAGGCGGGCGGGCACTGGACGGCGGACATGGGCGAGACGATCTTCAAGGGTGTCCTGTTCAGCGAGCTTGCAGGCGTGGTGGGCCAGGTCGTCGGTGGCTAGGTGCCATGAACATGGTGTCGTGGGTCGTTGCATCATCACATTGCATCACAAGACGGTTGGGACTGGGGGAAAAGAGCGAAGAATGGGCTGTATGACCTGTCAAGACTACGCATGTATGCATCGTTAACTGTAATATGACACTAGTAGCATTCAAAGTGTAGGACCACTGGAAGAACCCGGACAAGGGATTGTGGTAGTACCCAATATCAACAGTCCTGATCAAATGGCAACTCGAGACAGCTGATTATCCCCACAAGCGTGTATGGTCAGTGTCCGCCCCAGGGGTTTTAGAGCGGATTCCTGAAAAACAGAGCAGCTGCCGCTCTACGTCTGAATGCGAGATGAACGCAGTGTCCTCTACAGTCTATTATTAAATTAATTATCTTGTTGGCTTTTTTTCCTTCCTTTCTTTTCAGTAAGACAGCCCTGACGGATGTGAACAGTTGATTCTAACTTTGGAAATTTCTCTTGGGATATCGTACGTGGCCTATCTCTCTAGCATTGAATCAAATCAGATCAGATGAACCCCAACGGGCAGTATGCTTCTAAACCAGACACTCCGTAACCTATTTGGTCGTTTTGTTTCTTTTTTCCTTTACCTTAGATAGAAAAATAAACGATCCAGACCGCGTGAACTCCGTGACACCCATGCTGTTATACACAACACCATGCTCCATACATGCCTTGACGTCTCATCTCTCTCCTCCCTTGTGGCCTCGTAGCTCTCGTCGTGTTCTGATGATATCAAATGTTGTACAAGAAGTCTCAAAGGATGGATGTAGAATCGGGGAGCTAGATAGCCTCCCTTAAAATGGCATCAGGCCAGGGGGCAGCATCGGGTATTCGACGCCGTCAATAATCTCTGTGCCCCAGCCGAGGTCTGCAGACGAGCGCGTCTCGAGGGCGTCGTCGCCGAGGTCGCGCTTCCAGCGCTGGTTGCAGTCGCCGGGGACGAACTTGGCGGCGTCCATGTTGAGGGTCATCTTGACCTCGGGGCAGTAGTCCCAGATGTGCTTGCGCAGGGCGGGCGTGCCCCAGATGCCCGAGTGCAGCGTGTTGCCGCTGCCGCCGGTGTGGTAGCCCATGGGCTCGTAGAAGCCCTCGCGCCAGTCGTCGATGCCGTGCACCAGCTCGCCGTGCTCGGCGGCGTCCTTGGTGCTGTTGTACAGCTTGCCGCTCGCGCCGCCCACCTTGCCGTTGCCCACGTGCGCGCCCTCGCCCGTGTGCATCTCGCCGCTGAAGGTCAGCGACACCGACCCGTTGGCCACCTTGGACCCGGGCCGGTGGCCCAGCCGCTCCGCCAGCCACACGTCCTCGGGCTCCGAGCCGGGCACGCGCACCTGCGACCGCAGCACGTCGATCATGGCGCTCACGCGGCGGATCGACAGGCCGCCGTTGCCGCCCCAGCGGCCGGCCGGGTTCCACGGCGCGCCGATCCAGTCGTACTCGAGGTAGTCGTTGAGGTTCTGCTGCGAGTTGGCGCACAGGATGGAGTCGGTCTGGAAGACGAGCAGCCACTCGGCGGGCTGCAGCACGACCTCGTACAGCCACAGCGTGGTGAGGAACCGCGAAATCTCCTCCTGGGACCCCGTGCTCATGTTCGCGGGGATGTAGGTCAGGTCCAGCTTGCCCAGCTTCACCTGCTCCTGGATCGCCATCGACTTGTTGATGTGCTCCACCGACTCGACGGATCCCATGAAGCGGAAGCGCCAGTCGGGCGGCACGACGCCCATGAAGTGCAGCATGAGAGGGGCCAGGAGGGGGAACGGCCGGTTCTCGACTAGCAGGGCGACCTTGGACTCGTTGTACGGCGTCTTCTGCAGCGAGGCATACTCCAGCGAGACCGAAGGCAGGTAGGGTTCAACGTATGGGAGGGATGTTATTGACAGCCCTACGACTATGGCACTATGATGTTTTCAGTCAGCGATCCGAAGCAGGTGGCGGTTGCATCCAGAAGGAGGGGCCTCACAGGAAGGTGAAGCAGAAGCCAGCCAGGCGTATCCGGCGGGGGATGGCTCCCCATGCCCGCGAGGACAGCTCCTTGCTCTTGTCCCAGACGTCGTTCATGGTCAGGTCCTCGAGCTCATTCTTCTTGAGAAATGAAGACATGGCGGGCAGAAGCGACTATCAGGCCCCAAGAGGCCAGCTGGAGCCTCTCGGGAAAGCAGGAGCGCAAAGCGTGCCAGACAGAGTTTGCCTCAGGAAGCTGAATATGGGCCGCAGGGGGGCCAGATACTCCGATACGAGAGGATGCTTGCGCACACACGCAGGCAACTGCGAATCCGCAATTGGTCGTCGGTGTGATGATCGACCGCCCGACCCCGGGGAAACTCCTCTTGAAGTCAAGCGCGACAGTTCGATCGGTTGCGGCGTGATGTGTTTTTGCTGCAGAACTGCAGGCCTTGGACGTTTCGAGTAGCGGAGGCTGACGCAAGCTTCCCCGTTATGCTTCGCTGGTGGGGGGGGGNNGGGGGGGGGGGGAAGTGAGTGTGAGTGGTGGTGGTGTTGGTGGAGGTGGAGGTACTCTGAAGGAGGAGAAAAAAACGGTGCAAGTTCGTTCAGCGATGGCTATCGTATACTATGCATGCGTCTTGAAGCCATAGAGAATAAAAGAATAATTGTGATCCGGGTGAGGTTCTTTCCCGAGGAGACAGACAGATAGAAAGGGATCAGCAGCGAGGGCGAGGGAAATGAAAGGTGGGCGCGCGCCAGGCAAAGGGAGGCGGATGCAGCAGCATATTTTCGAGATTTTGAAGCGAGGAGGCCCAGAATTGGCGGCGACAGTCGATAGTGGCATCTTCAAAACTTAGGGCGGGTACGGACAAGGTACATCAGGAATACCCTCATCTAGGTTCGTAAGGGTCAGTCAGTACGGGCCCCGGATCTCTCATCCCTGACCACTGCACACCTGCCACAATCATACTGGCGGTCAGTGGCCATTCATACCTACTGTACCCGCCATCCTTAGCAACGAGCAGTTAAGGGCTGTCCCAACCTCACGGAACCTATAGCGATCTGTCAGACCGGGACGATATGCACACTAATGATCCTGAAGCAACCTCGCCTTAACGTTAAGCTATCCTCGGGTACCAGACACGACAAACAGCACCTATTAGGACTCTTGGCAATCAATACATCCCGCTGGCCCAATGCAACCTTGTCAGGCGAACCGTCCGAAGCAAAGCTGCTCGTAATACATTAACTCTTCTATGTCAAAAAACACCACAAGCAGCTCA